AAGGTCTACTATCATCTCGTGTCAAACCAACTCGTTTATTAGAAACTAAACCAGCGACAAATCTTGATTCGACAGCGGCTAGTTATTTCGAAAAGAATATAGATCACAATGATTTTAACTTCGTACTCTATCATGATAGTCCTGCGTCGACAACATTTGATAAACTAAAATTTGGTGATGATGTGGAAGAATATATCAAAAGTGTTTGGTAAACAAATCGAACAATCTAACCGATTATGACTATTGTCTTTTTTTGTTGTTATAAAGAAGAAAACATTTGGGTTCTTCTTTCGTTATCATAGCTCGCTTGATTTGTACACGAAAAGAACGGTTTTACATAATCGGTCTAATTTGTTTTTATAGGAATATATCTAAACGCTCTTTCTGTGTGTGTATCTGTGTGCGTGTGAACCCATTCTCTTTCTATCAACCAAAGTTTCTTACCCCTGATGGAAATTCTGAAATGAGATATGAAAGAAGACTAGTTGTCCGATTCTATTGCTCCTCCAATCGTGTCAATTAGCGCTTTTTTCTATATCATTGGAATGTGGCGGTGAATGTGTTGGTTTTTTTCTATATATATATATATCAATAAAGTCTCATGCATTGAGAAAAATGCAATAAAAAAAATAAAGTGTGTTTCTCAGATAATTAGATTAAAAAATGAAATATTAAATATATGAATATAGGTTATAAGTCTGAAGTCCGATGAGCAACGATCAATGTAATTCGTCGACTATCTTGACATATCCTTCGAATCAATTGAGCAGCCATAGAATGGGTCACCCATTGTAAATTTGCACTGGTATAATTTGTTTTGATTTCTAATAGACGGTCACCAACCTGAACTTGATTTTTCTTGGTATTCAACGCTAACAGACCGTTTAGATCGATTTGAGTAATAAATAAACCGCAATCATCGTTCTCTTCGTCCAATCCCCCACTTATTGTAATACCTAAAGGTTCGTCTTCTGAGCCCATTGGTATTGTTAATTCAACATGTTCTATGTATGCAGGGTTCAGACGGCAAACACGAAGTGTGATGCATTGACCTTGAAGAGATGAAAATGCTCCAGCAGCGACATCGTGAGTCACATGACGTAAATCAGTATCGTTTATCGAAAGAATTCGATCGAAAAGACGAAGTTTACTTCGTCCATTGTCTTCCAAAGTCTTCGAGGGATGTTCAATATGTGTAATAACAATCGCTCGGCCATTACTTGTATCGATTCCGCCACTGATGACAAACCCGTATTTGTTTTTATGTCTGCTTAGAGGTTTCAATTCGATGATTTCGTCTATCCATTCATTTTCCATCGATTGTTGTACATATATCGAATATGGAGGCGGTATTTCTTCTACTTGCAAGACTTGTGTGCCATCCGTCAGATTATTACGCTCAAGTACGTGAAGATAAGTGCGTTGATATTGTTTCATCTCGATAAGTCGAGTTTACAGCACAAAAAATGTCAGATGAAAGAACGAGTGAGTTTGTAATTTAGATTGATAAATATTTATTAAAGCTTATCGACAAGTTTCAACCAACTGCCGGTGAATCATCAAGGCGAGTTTATTTCTTTCTAGTCGCATAAATCGTCTAGAGATTCTTTCGTTCGTTCGTTTGCTTCAGTCGAGAGTGTGTGCGTATAATGATTCACTTATTCGATCGAACTGATGTATTTATTCGAAACAACAAAAATGGCAATTATATGAAATCATCAAAGCAAATCTTCTGCACAACTCTAATTTTGTGTTTGATGTGCGATGACAAGTGTTACACTTGTCGATTCATTTCTCATTCGCTTGATGAGTTTCAAAGCTTGATCCAACTCAAGACATTGCAGATTAACTGTAACATGTGTACTACTGATTTGTATTAGACGATCGCCAATTCGTAGACGACCGTTGTTTGCTGCACGACCTCGAGGTTTAATACCGACGACGAATAAACCAGGATCAGTTTCTTGAGCTTTTCTAACTCCGCCATCTAGAGTGAAACCAAGTTTCGCCGAGTCGAAGAAACTATTCTTTTGTAAATTGAGTTCGATCGTTTCAAGAGCAGTTGGTTGTAGCCGTCGAATACGAAATTTGATCAGTTTACCTTGATGTGCATTGAGAATGCATTGCGCTACTTCTTTTGGCATATCAACAAAATTCATGTCATTCAATGAAAGAATAATATCAAAAGGATGAAGCAATCCATCTTTATGGACAAAGTTTGTGATCACAATGGACTGATTGATCTTCTGAACTACGATCGCCGATGGAACTTTGTCCGGTATTAAAATCTCAATATCGAATTCGAGCCATTGGTTATCATAAACAATATTTCTCATGAATTTTTCATATGGTGCCGATGGATTCATTTTGTCTTCTATTTGCATTAATTGTTCATGAAGTAGATGCCAAGGATTGTTCGTTGATACCATATCTTTCTTACTTTCTTTCTTTTACCTTGCTAAATAACTGACTAGTGAACCTGTCATTGATATGAAGTTGACTACCTAATGCAAATAATTCTTATCTGTTCTTTTGTAAAAGGCCAAGGCAGATTCGAATGATTTCCTATCTTTTATTTCCAATTTTATCTTCATCACCACGAACACATTTGCGAACAAAGAAAAAAGAAAGAAAGAAAAGGAAAAGAAAAGAAAATCCTCTCTCAGCTCATCTTCAGAATTGATGAAATCGTTTCGATATCACTAGTAAACGTTAACTAGAAAGTAATAATAAAGTTAATAAACTGACAAGAAAAAGAAAACACGAANGGCAGATTCGAATGATTTCCTATCTTTTATTTCCAATTTTATCTTCATCACCACGAACACATTTGCGAACAAAGAAAAAAGAAAGAAAGAAAAGGAAAAGAAAAGAAAATCCTCTCTCAGCTCATCTTCAGAATAGATGAAATCGCTTCGATATCACTAGTAAACGTTAACTAGAAAGTAATAATAAAGTTAATAAACTGACAAGAAAAAGAAAACACGAACAAAGCATAAAACTTCTGTACACTATTTCCCCCTCATCTCTTTTCAAATTGTCTGGTTTGGTAGAAAACACGCACACGAACATGTTTGCTAATTCTAAGTATCAATAGATATATGTATATGTATAAAAAAAATAATGTGTATAACAAATAATGAAAAGAAAAAGAAAAGGCTCAAATTGAGAATAGGAGTCAGAGATGATTTGACCATCTCTTCTAGTTTATGTGTGTGTGTGTGTGTTAATTAGCAAACATTGAAAGAAAGGAATCAAGCAGAAAAAAACACGTCACAACAAAATGAATGCAAGCGTATACTGTAGAAAGAGAAAAGACAGGAGAAAATGAATGGGGAGAGACAAGTAGAAAACGTTCGGTTTGACTAGAGATGAGGAAGAAAAACAAACGGAAGATCGAGCAATATTCATGGATACATAATATCTTCGATTTTCTTCAGTAATTCTTTTGTATATTCAATTGCTTGTTCAGCTTGTGCTAGAAAATGTGTCAATAGGAAATGAATTCAAATGAATGTGTTTCAGTACTTACAAACAGTGAATACTTCAGCTGGAATTTTAGCAAACCGTGCTGCATTGGGATATTGCATTCGATTCGGATCACCGATCCATTTGTATAATTTATATCCGATTTCTCGTACATCATTATCAACACCGATTAGCAAACCTGGAATATCTGCGGTCATGTTTTTACCAGTATCTTTGTAATAATGATACGCTTTTAAGGCTTTTTCCGCCGCCTAAAAGAAAACATTCATCAATACATGTTATCACGCCCTTTCTCCTTGCTTCTCTCATCTTCGGATATATCTTTTGTTGATGCGTCTATTCATCTCTCTAGCCTATATAACGTCATCTTCGATTTACTCATTAACTAAATCAGACATGACTGTAGACTGTTATTGGATAACTTACTCGATAGCATTTGTAACAAGCCCAATCGTATGCCACTTGTCCTGTTGATGAATGCATATCACTATATGAACTTTCCAAATCATGCTGTGCTTGTTTAAGCCATCGATCGGCTTCTGATTGTTGATAGTTACGTTTTCGTCGTGCATTGGGACTTTCTTCTATTAAAACAAAGTGAAGTTTAGATGAGATTTTCGAATTCGAAACTAAAGTTTGGTTTGTCAATAGAGACTAAAAGCTTTTCTACGACAATGAATAGTTCCACATCTACCCAATAAAAGCAAAGAGCACTCACCAAAAATAGGATCAGAAACTAATATGAAAGAAAGAAAGAAAAGATATGATAAACGAAATCAACAATACAACATATATGTGTCATTCTGTGCGTGTGTTGACTACATGCAAACAATATGAACTAGAAGAAAAACGGCACACTTACTTCCACCAGTCGATGATGATGTTTGAGAACCCGTTCCATTCGTTGTCGTATTAGAACTAGTTCCAGCATTTTCTTCGGTAGGTGTAAAGAAACCGTGACGACGTTGAAATCCGTGTTGGCGGCGATATTGCCATTCTTCACGCGCTGTGCGAAACGATGATGATCGATGGGGACTAAAGCGACTTTTCGTTCCATTTCCATTCGGATCTGTATTCTCAGAATGATCTTTTGGTATATCTTGATAACTACGTTTTGTATCATCGGTTGAATCTTTATTTAAATTATCAAAACTACCGAATCGTTCATCGCCCGTAGTGGCCGACGATGAACTTTGATGATGATCGCTTTTCGTTGTGTTGGAATACTTATTCCAACTGAATCGTGGATCGGATGTTGAAAAAGGAGTGTGGTGAAAGTTATTAAAGGTATTGAAAAATGAGGTTAACGGATCGTTTTCAAAATGATCGATTTGTTTACGTAAATGCTTGAAGACTTCGGCAGCGAAACGTTCACGACCGGGGTTTTTATCTGGATGCCATTTTAATAAAAGTTTCTTGACTGTTTTCTTCCGCTCCTGCCCTGTCAATTGATAGGCTTGTCTTACAGCATTGTAGATTTCGGTTTTGGTTAACTCTAATTCGGCTTTATCAATCAGATCTTGTTCATTGGCTGGAGTTGATTCAGATTCGGATTGAGATTCGGATGTGGCATTACCTGAGGAGTCACTATCTGCGGACGTTTGAGTTTTGAAGTTTTCGAAACCATTCGTTGAATGATTGGAATCATTGGTAAAATCACCAGCATGATTCGCTTTTCCTGAGCGTTTCGAAGAGGAAGAAGTTTTTTCATCATTGTATTTATCTTTATCACCACTTTTGCCTATAGACGACACACGCACAGTGAATCATGGCTTAAATTTAGGGT